CAGCTGTTTGCTACCCTCCCACTTCCCCATACATTCTACCTTCTGTCGCTGGGAACGCTGGTGGTCGCTGCCGCATAGTGAGAACGCAGCCCTAAACTCTGCGGAAGGCAGGATGTATTGTATGACAATACCCTCGGTTGTTTTCAAGGTACTACTGGCTGAAAGTTGATTGAGTCTCAGTCAAGTGTCCTGATATTAACATATCCCTAAGACTGAAAAGTTCCGAGAGAACTTTAAGAGGCATGCGCCATCAACAGACACTCATCCAAAGTTCAACATCGATAAAGGGGAAATGGTTACAGGCAAGTTTGTCCCCAGCACCTTCCTCCGATACCAGCCGCCTTCCCTCATCCTACCTACTAACTTCATTTTCCGTCTTCCTACTACCCTCTCCGAAATTTCCTGGTCTTCTCTCATTCCGCCAAAAAGTTTCTCCAAGCGGAGGAGGAGCTATGACACACATGTATCGGGGACATCATGAAAGGTCAACAAATGAAAATTCCCCTCCCGCTGAAATTTCTGTCAAGACCAGGAACGACCCTCGTCGACCAAATGCGCACCCCCTGCCTCCCTACCGACCAACTGCGACCCACTGATGGGGATTCTCACAACGGTGCCTGGACCCTGCATCTACTTCTTTCGGAGCTGGTACAAAGTTATGGGGTTGGCTAGAGTTATGAGGCCAGCTACGAGTTCATGGACCGAATATGCCCGCCCACCCCTTCCCATCGCCTCTTGCTGCTCATAGGGTATTGTGAATCACTGTACGTGAATATGACAATCTTTTGGCACAATGGCGTTTATGGGGTGTGTGGCTGGCTTCGACATGCCTATTCTAAGAACCCTTTGGAAAACTTTCACGGTACCTTCTCTGGAATGCTCAGCAATTTTGGACAGCAAATTGGACATCAGCGCTAGAAAACGCATCTGCTGGTCCAGGTTACAAATGGCCACCTCCGACCAAATGCCTCCCTAGTGAGCACAATGCTGTCAACTGAATTTTCATTTGAAGCTGTAAAACAAAATAATAAGTAAGGGAATATAACTGAGGCTCTCAATGTGATGGCGTTGTCGTGGAGATTTACGACCGAGCAAAGCACGACGTTGGGAACGACAACAGGGAGTAGCCGGTTAGTGTGAGAGGGGCGCAAGCTGAACTGATTCTGAAGCACTGTTTCACCTTTCTATAGCGAACACCTCGTCTTTTGACCACAATCGGGACGATGTTTTCGGGATCATGGGGATCGTTCTGCGATCACTCGTCTACTTCCGCGAAAATTCGGACACGAAAGCAGATTTTAATTGGGTAACACCGTTTCCGCCGGAAAGTCACTTACTTTGTGCATAGAAATTTCCTTGTGAGATTTGTTTAATCATGCATATTGTTGTTCACTTTCCTTATACCAAGTACTGTCTGTAATTTTGTTTTAATGCAGGCGACGTTCGATCCGCGTTATGAAGCCATCGAAGCGCATTGTAAATGTGTCGGAAGTCTTGACATGGAATGTATTCGCTTTGAAACGCCACCAAGGGACAATGTAAGAACTTAAATTTTGATTTACTTAGTATACAGTTTTTTCCGGTTTATAATTACTGATAATAACATCAAGAGCGTAATGCCGCACAGAGCTTCAAAGGCTCTTCTTAAAATCGGACCATAAAGGCAGGCTCTTATATTCTAAACCCCGAGAGACATGACGACTGCAGGGCACTGGCTACACTTGGCTACGAAGGCTATCTTACGGATCGAAATACCCGGAACCTGTCTGCCTTTGGACAAAAAACACTCTGAACTTGTGAATCTGAATACCGACAAGTAATTTTGACCGTCACCAATGATTTTTTCCCCATAAGGATCTGAGGCAGCGACTGCTTTTAACTCAAAAAACGTTATCGTTTTGGCTCATCGCAGTACGATGAACCTTGGTTGAATCAAGATCAAGTTGGCGCTGTAAAGCGTGGGGAGCGCACCAAATGGTACTCAGCGAAGCATTTGCGTATAAAGTAAATGTGATTTCAGAATGGTTTAGAGGAGGGTCGTGATTTGAAATAATATTTTACTGAGTCATAAATGTCTATACTAAAACTAACATAGTTGAAAATAATCCATTAGGCCAACAGTTTTAATGATTTTGCATGCTCAACGACGAACGTTGTCTGTAGGGACGCTTTTGCTCCAACAAACAATCCACCATTTTCAGCCTTTAGAAAAATTGTATGGATTCACTAAGGTATAGTTTTCGGATGACACGGTATGACACGGTACAGGAAGAAATGAGGCGGCAGGGGTCGCGACGCGGCTGCGGCGTGTCACGAGCGCGGCGATCAGCTGTTTCCAGCCTATTTTAGCCATTTTCTCCCTAATTTACACTGTTTTGGCTGCTTTTCTCACGATTAGTTGTTGCTTGTCTTCACGAGGTGAATTATGATTAAGATTCCTCTGATTTTTGCGTAAAATTAAACAGTTAAGCAGACAATTGAACAAATACGTGAAAAAATTGCAAAAATCTATTGTGCCAAACAAAATAAATCACCGTCCACTTCCTGATGTAACTTCATAAAGACAATGAAACAACTGACCTTTCAAAACATATAGAAATACAGTGAAAATTAGGGAGAAAATGGCCAAATTAGGCTGGAAACAGCTGATCGCCGCGGTCGTGACGCGCCGCAGCCGCGTCGCGACCCTTGCCGCCCTAATCAAGTCCCCGGATGACGACTGTACATGTTTGATATGCACCTAGTAAACTCTGTAGTGGGGGATCCATAAAGCACCTGTACTCTCAATAATTCGAGCTCTTCTGTAGGCAATCAGTAAAGTGTGTGTACTCAAACAGGTTGTCCACCTTGAATAGTTGCAGCATTAGATGACCACTCGTAAATTAAACCCAGCCATCTATTTCTCAATGCATGAATTGCTTTATTTTGAAAGTACCTGTACTTTTTCCTAATGTACGCCATATTTCAGAATTCCAAATGTGTTTGCACTTATGATCGAGATTTAATGGTCGCATGGCCATGTTTCAATATTACGTGAGATTTTTTCAATCCCAATTGAAATCTATCATTTTCATGTTTTGGTTGTTTTGTGCTGGTATTACCTAATTTTGAGTAGTATTTTAGTGTATGGTTCGATCACATTTGCCCGTCATGCAAGGAGGATGGCTATTGTGAATACAAATTGGAAGAGGGTGAAACGTCTCCCGGCGGTCTTGAATGGCCATGTAAGTGCCGGAATCGGACTGAATCTTCAGAATTTCAAGACGTAAGCTTGTTTTTAGCCTGAAAGAAAACAACGAGAAGTAGTCAGTTTCATTCAGGTAATTTTCTACAGGAGAATAGAAAGTCACCATTAACTTGAAGACAGTTCCCGCGATCAAGTGGTCCGCGAAATGCCTCCGTGCATTTGGCATCGTTGTCCGCATTCGCAGAGAATATACCACTTTCGTCACTCGAAACGGCGAGATAAAGAAGCTAGAGACGCGTGATTATTGCAACCATTGCAACCACGATTACTTTCACTCTGCAAGACAACGGCTTACAAGCGGAATTGCGTGTGTACATAGCGTTGCCTGGAGCGTCGTAGGGTGATTTCCTGTGCTCTTGCTAGGAATCGCACGTCGAATCCTGCTGATTGGGCTTGCCGACGTCCGACAAACTCGTCCAAGGCTCCGGCCCCTTGCTAAGGACTCTATATAGTCGCATTCAGTCGAGATGGTACCAGGAGGCGCGGAATGAGCCCTAACGTGGCTGTGTTTTCCGCCGCTATAAGGTAGAAAGCAACCAGTGGTAGAGAGCGCCACGCGCGACCCGCCCATGCCTCACGCCTCCTGACACGCTCGTCGAACTGTGAAAGACCCATTATTGTACAGTAGAAGTATTGCGACACCTTCGACTAGCGTGTTTTCTAAAACAGTGGGAGGACGCTCTTTCTTGGAGGCAGATTTCATTGCTCATCACATGGGCGGAGCCATACCTATCAGTGTGGCTTCCTCATTGGTGCCCTCCTACCCTCCACCGTTATAAATGCAGGAGCGCAGCAATGAGGGAGGCACAACATTAGGCTCGGCTCCGCCCATACAACGAGCGTATAATGTCTCTCAAACCTCATGGGTCATGATGCCTATCCTACAGAGGGAACAATGAAGGCCTACTCTAAAAACCGCCGGCGTACCTACCCCACTCATTACAAGGGCACGTCCTGCCGTTGGGAAAAATTTGGCAAAATGCAACATCCCTCGGAGTTTCCACCTCTGAAACGACCGTATCCCCCTTGCCCATCTCCTTGAACTCTCCCAGGTTCCTTTCTTTTTCCTCCAACATCCTACCACATTTCCAGGGGTTTTTCCAAGATAGTCCTTCCTTCCTCGAAAGCTGCCGTCGAGCGGGGAGGGAGCACATAGGCAAATACGAACAAATACGATCTTATGAGGGTTCCCAACCGGCGTACCCTGCTCATAAGGCTGCGCGTTCATTATTTGCGGCAGTGTCCTCTAGCGTTCCGAGCATTTGGTAGCGTCAGCGACTAGGAATGTGTAGATATCGGTCTAGCGTCTGTCAGCGTTTACCAGCGTCTACCAGCGTCAACCTGCGTCCACCGGCGTCTCGAGGGCTAGAGGAGTACAGATGGATCTAGTGTCTGCTAGTGTCTACCACTATCCACGAGCGACCAGCAGCACACTGCTGGTGCAGTATGGTGTGATAGGAGGGTCCAACCCTCTGGTGCCCTCCTATCGCGCCATACTCTCCACTTCTAAACGCTGTTAGACGCTGTTGGATGCTGGAAGAAGCTAGATTGATACCTTCACTTCCCTAACCCTCGGGACGCTGATGGGCGCTGGTAGGCGCTGAATCGATATCTTTGCTTTCATAGTCGCTGACGCTGGCAGACGTCAGATCGATACCTGTGCTTTCTTGTCGCTGACGCTGGCAGGCCCTAGGTTGATATCTACACTTTCCTAGTCGTTGACGTTGGCAGACGGGAACGCTGGTGGACGCTACTGGTCGCTGGTAGACGCTGCCGAGAAGTATAAACGCAGCCTAACTTATTCAGGCAGACATAAGGACAAGTTAGAGTACTTGCCCAGGACTGTGCACTGTGTATAAAGTGAATGTATTCTAAATGGTTTAGAGGAGAGTCGTGATTGAAATAATATTTTGATGAGTCATAAACGTCTATACTAAAACTCAGTATAGTTTAAAATAATTAACTAGGCCAACAAACCTAACGATTTCGCATTCTCAACCAGGCGTTGTCTACAGGGACGCTTTTGCTCCAACAAACAATCAACCATTTTCAGCCTTTAGAAAAATTGTATGGATTCACTAAGGTATAGTTTTCGGATGACACGGTATGACACGGTAAAGGAAGAAACGTACATGTTTGATATGCACGTAGTAAACACTGAGGTGGGGGATCCATAAAGCACCCTGTACTACCAATATTCAACAGGGAATGGCGCTGAAGTTTCATCTCAAAGCTGTTCCCTGAAGATCATTGCTTACAGTTCCGAAAAAAAGTTCCTTGGATCCCCCTCCTCATAGCACCCCATAGCACTTCATGTCGATGACGTCATCTCAATGTGAAAAGTCATTTTGCATGTTAGGTTACACAAAAATTCAAACTCATTCAGGCATTAACTAGCGTTTTTTGCAGACACCCTACTGTATCGGCAAGGAACCAGTGGAAATTCGGAAACTTTGGATTGATGACCTGAACAAAACGATTTCTTTGCCAAGTTAGTACTTCTTAGTTATACTGAATAGAAAAATTTAGCACCAACTCCCAAACTGGCTTAGAGGGGTATGTGACAAGAGAATCGTAATTCGCCGCGCTGGTGGGCGTGCGACGTCGCGCCCGCAAATGACGATGGTTCCAGGTAGTAGATGGCGACAACAGGCAATTCAGAACCGAAAATAGTCATGAATGTCTACGATGACGGGTCTACATGAAGTCCGTTCAGGTTAACACAAGTTAAGAAAACGCCGCGCCCATCGGTAATTTCGCCGCGCGGCGAGATTACGATTCTCTAGCCCGTCTCCCTGCTCAGGGCAGTTAGCACGATGATTTGGTACTCGCCCCAAAATGCTAGTAGGGCGCTGTATCCGGTAGTAGATGGCGACAATAGGCAATTCAGAACCGAAAATGGTCATGAATGTCCATGATGACGGGACCGCTTCATACCAATCCCTTCGCTTCATAATTTGCTTAGCAAATGAATCGATTAGAGCGTCAGGAACGGTCGTCCATTTGTGGGCGGGCGGGCGTGGCGGGCGTTTGGGTCGGTATGTTGTGGCTTGATAGGGCCCTTATAAGGGCACCTCCCTTAAAAGGCATTATGCAGCGCCTGCTCAGGGTCGCGGAATTCCGTCCTGCCAGGTATTAATCCTACTCGTCTTGGGGGATTTATCGTGCCAACTGCCTTTAATTGTTTGCAAGACATTTTTCTAAGCGACAAGTCAGAACGCAGACTGCATGCCGAAAATCGTGTTGTGAGATGTCGTTGGAAGAAAGTATGAGTCGTTACGCAGACGCTGCCGCAGAACGCGAAAGTTGAGCGTGCGGTCACGAAGCGTCCGCTTTGGCCCACGTCACTTCAATGAACTATTGTTGAGCGCTGCGGCAGCGCCTTGATCTCAGAATGTCATCACTTGTCTGATTGTCCTTCTAGTAACGATATTCTATTTCAGCTACAACTCCGGTACCAGAACGTGAGTTTTCTAGATTTTGTATTTCTTCAAGTGTTTTATTTAAACTGAAGCTCTCAGCTTCTCAATAAATACCTTAGGTCTTGTTGAAAATTTAGCTAGTGTAACCGCAACACTCCCTACTGACCCTATCCCTCCTGAAACCACTGAACCGTCAACTACTACTTCTACCTCTACTACTACGTCTACCTCTGCAGCTGCAACTACACGTTCTACTACTACTGCTACTGCAACTTCTACGACTAAGAGGACGCCGCGTAGGTTATGGTGCAGCAGAAGTGACGCTAGTGTGCATGGAACTAATCGTGGTTAATAATCGTGGGTACTTGTGTGAAGTAGAGTTACTGTTACTAATCACTGCATCAAAAATTCACAAATAGGTATCTGCATGATTCACAAAGAAGTGAAAAACATACTCACTAAGCACAGCATGAAAGATTTAAAAGCAAAAAGTACAATGTAAAAGGAGATAACGTGAATTGCTCTCTGTGAACTTGAATTTGAGGGAAAGGCATATGTAGGCGGACAGGCATACAGGGGGGCCAAAAAAAGACACTTTTCTTCCTTGACTTTCAAGGCGCTATAAGTTACACTTTATTAAATTCTGATTGGACATTTCCACCATCATATTCAACAGCACATTGTACACTGATACTCCGCCACAGCCTTCTGGACGAGCGCCATCGAGAGATTCTGCCACGCGACCGTGATTCGGTACCTGAGTTCAGCGAGGTCGTTGATTTCTCCGCCACTGTAGACCACCCTGTTGAGCTCCGCCCGAACCCGGTAATCGAGGGGTTTAGGTCAGGTGACACACTTGGATATTCCATCTTCTTCAGGTACTCAAGCCCTTCCATTCCAAGTAGGCGAGAGTTTTTCCAACGCCCTTCGATTCCATGTGGTGGCACCCAATCCTGTAGCAGTACGAAGTTTCCAAGAAGGTACAGGCGACGACATGAAGGCAGGATATTCTCCTCGAGTTGGTCGATGTAACCGTCAGCGTTCACTTTCAGTCCGGGGTCCACGAAGAAAATATCGGTCTTCCCATTCCAGGAACTTCCGGTCCATACCATCAACCCGCGCCTTGGCGACTGCGGTGAAGATGATATCCTGGACTGTATTTTGGACCTGTAGCGACGTTGTCGGAGCTGCTCGATGTTGGAGGTCTTCCAGATCAAGAGTACTGGTCTCCAGGTAGCTGTCCATGGGTGGCTCCATACAAGAAGTTTTGCAGCTGTTCCGGGTGACGTGGATTTCTAGCTTCATATTTTGGTGTACATGAAAGTGACGGAGAGCCTGCTCTGCTCTTGGGTATCTTCCGCCCTGGTACTCGTATCCACGTCTTCTATCTGGGCTGCGAAAACTTTACTGATATGTGACTCGGCCGAAGTGTCTTTTTTTGGCCCCTGTATATTACAGTGCAGCGATGCGAGCCAAGATAGGAAAAAAGCAGCCTGGCAGAGGAAAATTTCTTCTGTAATGTACATAGGGACAGGCCAAGCGAGGGCCTCCCCATAGTACATCCCGATTGATCGATACTCACCGCTACCCCTTTTTGAAGATAGTCTCCAGGATTGTAAGGGTTCTTGGGTGAATCTGTTTCAAATGTTTTCCTGCTTCTCAAGCTCTTAAGAAGGCGATAAACCTGAAAAATAAGGCAAACAAACTGGTAATAATTTTGGAGGGCTCAATCAAGGATAGTTGCAGACTTTAGAACAGCCGTTTTCGATGGAAACGCCTGAGCGTGCCGTGGAGCCTTAGCTGGGCGCCAGCTCGTTCTCCACCACTTATTGAAGCGGTTTAATGACAACAAATAGTGGAATAAGGGGTGACGCCGCGCCAGAAGCAGCCTTCCTGGCACTCCCAGGCTTGTGCAGCGGAAAACTATGAGTATATGCTAAGAACTCGTCGTTGATTGTACATCGTGATGACCTCCAGAGACGTACTTTGTCCACACAGGTTGTTCTATCATACGCTGAGACCTTAGGAATAGTAAGGAGTAATCGATGCCCTCAAGGCTCCACGTCTCTGAGTTTCGCGCAGTTTCCGAAAAAAAAATAGGAGTAGAGCGTCTCGCACCATACAGGGCAGCAGCTTCAGCTTCTCACGGAACTTCAGATGAACACCTAGATAAGCGCTACGGACGGCTCTTTATAAAAAGTCAGGAACGGTTCAATTTTGCTGGAAATGCAGGATGTGTGCAGGTGTGATCTGTCTACGTGAAGCTCCTTTGTGGCCTGCTGGTATACCTGTCGTTTTACAAGCACCAGCGTCTGGGTTTGTTCTCTGTTAATGGAATGGTTTTTAGTAGTCTTCATAGAGCGCTTTTACCCCAATTTCAAGCTGTTATTGTTTGATAACTGCTGTTTAACGCCGCAGTACGCGATACGAAAGCTATCACAAGAATGCTGAGTTATGGGCAAAAGTCGGACCACGGACGGGATTCGAACCCGCATCTTCTGCTTACCGGGCAGTTGCGTTCCCTATTACGCTACCGAGGCCACTTTTGACCACCAATTTTTAGTGTTCCTTCCAAAATATAGCGAGCGGTCAAGCCCACGTATACTACGGAAATTTGGCGTTCTTCCGACAGATACCGCTACGCAGCTTTAAAGGCTCCGTCCGCGATCAGGTAAGTTGAAAATATGGCGTTGGGAGGGTAGTGTGGTCCGCGGCGAACAACCTTGTACCGGTTTCGCGGCAAAAAATTGTAAGGGAGGGGCGCTATAGCGCAATATAGGTTCAGTGACGCCTCCTTTTTTCCAGTGACTCCGCCTCCAGACTCCGCCTTCAAGGCCCGCCTTTCAGTAAATAACGAAGCTGTCGGACGACTAATCATGACTTTTTTTTTCTTCAGTATCGTATTATTATTATCCATCACCTTGCCGTCTATATGTGAACCCCTTATCCACTATCTGTGATGGCAATGATCGCGGGTTTGCCTTTGAGGGGTCGAGCCTTCGTGTATGGAAGCTTTTTCTTTTGACCGGAGCAATCACTGTACTGAGCTAGTTCTCACATAACTGGTAGGAAATTGGACGAGTAACATGTTTAATTAATTTTATTCTTGGGTGAAGTAGTGCTGCATCACGAAAGGTCGAAGTAATAGGCCAAAGAGAATGGATTGGCAAATTATTCACTATCTAATCACCGACTTCTATATTTGAGCGAAACGCGAAAAAGATTAAAAATTCAAGTTTTAATCGATTGCATTTATTGTTCGGAATTTGAAAAAAACTTACGAGAGGAATGGTGAGTCGCACGAGAACACTGTTGTTTTGTGGTGTTCTCTACGGAGTTCAAGTAACCGTCGAGTGTTGCCGAGTAACTTGTCAATTAACTCGTTTAGTAATCCCCTCTAAACTGTTGCTATTTCAGCTACAACAAGTCGTCCGCATCAGAGAGCAATTGTCAGCGCACCGGAAACTATCGAGGCTATGGGCTTTTCGGTAGGATTTTGACCCTTTCTTTGATGCTTTTATATTTATATATTTATATTGAAGTTACTACTGCCTCGTGACTCATGTCATCTCAAAATTTCAATTGCCTTTGTTGATCTGTAGGGTCGGAGACGGCTCAATACCGAGTGGCACCGTACCCTACGAGATCAGCCTCAGACCAGGCTCCGTTCGGGACTGCCATTCTCCCAACCCTCCCGTCTAAAGTGTGTTAGTCTTGTCCTAGAGGGTAGAAACACTGACGTGCACGTTTGCAGTCCTTGCTAGCCATTGTAAGGCCAAACTGCCTTCGCAGTATCATTACATTTCTTGCTGGAAGTTCGAGAATAGTCCCTACCTTCCGTTTTCGGCCCTAATTGATCCCTTCACCCCAAAGGATTAATGAGCAGGAAGGCTTCATCCTTCATCTTATGGATTGGTGCTCTAAATAAAGATTTTGGGGCTGGACACTAGTAAAACATGGAGGGGAGTGAGCATCTAAAAGTCTGTGTGCATAATCAAGGTTACCCTATTAAGGATGGAATCACTGCACTTGGAACTAGTTTGCCTACCCAAAAACTTCTTCCTCTTTCAGACTTAAATGAAGAGTCTTCCCACTGTCGCGATTGTCCCAATCAATTTTCTAAGACGTCCCTCCCCCTCAAAAGGCTTTGTTAGCTGTCTTCCCTGAAAGTGTTGGGAAGTCATGAAGCCGCTTCCATATCTGAATATATTAGGTTGTCCGGAAAGTTCTTAGCGTTTTGGGTGTTTAACTTTAAACGATCATAACTTTCTTAACACTCATCGGATTTAATCCAAATAAGCACCATTCGAATCAGCACACTTTTGCCAATGTGCAGCAGTCGAGAAATCCCATCAAAGAAAAAACTGGGTGGTCGAGAATCCACGAAATCTACGAAGGTCTTTTTTGCCTGGTCCTAATTGATGAAGTATTTTTCAGCAAGGAAGTTCTGAAAATGTTTGAAAAGGTGATAGTCGGTTGGTGAAAGGTCTGGAGAATATGGTGGGTGTGGTAGAACTTCAACCCCAATTCGTTCAATTTATGGATAGTGATTTGTGAAACATGTGGGCGGGCGTTGTCATGCAAAAGAATCGGACCCTTTCTTTTGATAAGTGTTGGCTGCAGCTGACAAAATTTTCGGTACCGTCGATTCCTTCACAGTAGGGTTCTGCTGTGATGGTTTGGCCTGGTGATAAAAAGTTATAGTGGATCACACCAGCCGATGACCACCAAGCCGTGACCAGAATCTTTTTTCGTGAGGGTTCGGCTTTGAAAATTACCTCGGTGGTTCGTCGAAATCCAACCACTGTCCGGAACGTCTCCTGTTATCATACATGACCCATTTTTCATCACAGGTGACAATTCGGTTCAAAAACGGGTCGTTTCTGTTGCGCAAAAGCAGTGAAGAGGAAACCGCGAGACGTGCCAATTTCTGCCGGTCACTCAAATTGTGGGGCACCCACTTATCGAGTTTTTTCACCTTCCCAATGCTTCAGACCATCCGCAACAGTGGATTTGCCAACGCCTAGCTTTTCTGCAATCTCTCGAACTGTTTGGGATGGGTCAGCCTCCAAAATCCCCTCAAAATCCTCGTCAGATATTGCTTTAGGTCGACCGCTATGAGGTTCACCTTCAAGGCTGAAATCTCCAGAACGAAATTTGTTGAACCATTGCCGCACAGTGCTTTCTCTAGCACTATTGGGCCCCACCTGGTTAATTTGTTGAGCTGTTTCGATTGCGGATTGCCCAATTTATAGTCGAAGAAAAAAATCGTCCGGAAGTGCTCTTTTGACATGCTTGAAAAACTCTTGAAAAAAGGGGTCAGTCAAGCAATGGTGAAACGGCAGTTATACCATCAGATAGCGCAAAGAATTCTCTACAGGATGTACTACTGAGACGCAAGGGAGAGTGTGTTTTTAATCAGCAATGAATGTTCAAAAATAGTAACACAAAACCTGCAGAACTTTCCGGACAACCTAATACTATTGTATTATTATGCTGCAAGTGAGATAAAAAATAATGTACTGAAGTACTTAGAAACATCTACTCTACTACTCTTGTCTACTTGTCAATCCTACATTCATGAGGTCGCGTATGCATGCATACGCGATTTGTTGTTGTTATCAGACAAGACTTTTACATAGTTGAGTACTCAGTATTGACATGAAGTCTTCAAGAGGTCCATATAGGGACAGGAATCACTGTTTCTGGAACTTTTATGTGCTAAGCTGGTTTTAGTCAAAGTGCGGAATCCAGTGAAGATGATCTAGTAGTTTCAAGGCCTGCATGAAGGTTTCGGCCCGCGCGCTCTCGCAAGGATCATTCTGAAGACCAAACGTATTTCCGATCGAGTCCTCTGGAATGCGCCATGCACTCGACTACATTCGAATTGCTGCGCTTTTCTCATCGCCATGAGGTAAGGAGCTTTCTTCGAAGTTGGCAAAGGGAAGCAGTTTTCGATGAGGATGGGTGCAAGGAAGAGAGTGACTGTGGTAATCTTGACATGTCGACTTGAAATGAATCTTTAAGCCTATATTCAACAAATATGGTTCAATTGCTGTTTCCCTTTACCGCCCTAGAAGGAGAACGTCCCGCACCAATAAGGAAGGGGCAGTAGTTGGCTATCTCCGCCCATGATTCCGCACAAACTGCCAGGTTGCTCTGTATCTTCAGGTGAGAGTATGTTTGATTGCCAAACACGAGATCCACACGTAGTTTGTGACCGTGCACGTTTCCACTGAGCCACTTCTGTGTCTTCAGCAGTAAATATTGTATGACTTATTTGATCATCTTTTATCTTCTAACTTGGTCTCTTGATATGAGAGTGTGAATTTCGGCGCATTTGGTTAGTTTTTCAAAGCTATGGCTCTAAAAATTAATGTTCTTTTTAGCCTATTTCACAATATTTAGGGAATGACTGACGGTGTGGCGATGTTGACGAAGGCCAAAGAAAATTTGATGTTCACAATGTCTGCTTTATCAGCTGAGCAACGTGTCGCACTTTCACAGAGCAAGCATGAATTCATTGAAATGTGCTCATTCAACGGGCATCAATGTGATATAGATGAGTAAGTCATGTCAGCATTGCACGTTTAAGTAACCCACAATAAGAGTCTCGTGCACACAGCCACGGCTAGATCTGCCCAATATCTGTGGACCTAGACTGGTTGGGGCGAACCCTCACCGGAGAAAATTCAGCTATCGCTCTACAGAGGCACGTTCCGCGATAAACTGAGGCTATAACCTCATAAATGTGTCAGATGATCCGGTAGGCGATTGTAGAGGCTGCACTGCATTCAAAACTTGGAAAATGGCACGCAAAGCACCGGAAACTTCGATTTTAGGCCCAAGGAGGCCCATGCTGGCCCACATTGCCCGTGTTGTCGCAATAATGCGCAGTAGTGCTCTCTCTCTCTCTCTCTCTCTCTCTCTCTCTCTCTCTCTCTCTCTCTCTCTCTCTCTCTCTCTCTCTCTCTCTCTCTCTCTCTCTCTGGTCAATTTCTGCACGCTTTGCAGTGTATCGTCACCTTCTGCATATCACTGTTGATCTTGACCATCTTACTCTCGTCCAATGATCATGATCAAATGCAAGAAAGAGGGCCATATTGAGGGCGGCTTTTCATACTTTTTCCTTAGGCAACTAGCTCAATGCATTCCTGTTTTTAAACACTGTTACCCACGTTGTGCAGCCGCGGGAAGCGCCTTTAAGCGCTTGTTGGCCGATCGCGTTGGAAGGCAATCAGCTTAAAATTGTCGCGACAAAATAAGAAAATGTAAGAGTTTGCATGGGGAGGATAGTGTGCTTCGCTGTTCACAACCTTGTGCCATTTTCCCGGCCGGAAGTTGTGAGATAAAGGCGCTAAGGCACAAAATTGCTCCAGTAACACCTCCCTTTTACAGTGACTTCCCCTCCAGACCCGCCCTCAAACCCCGCCCTCACAGCCTATTTCCTAGAGAAAAAAAACCATACCATACGGTATAATGCAACCGATGTACCGTCGTAGGGCTCACCATAAGGAATCAGCTGACTGGATTTGTTCCGCGACGTCCTTTTCGCCTTATTTTCGTACCATTGCTCGAGACTAGAGGAGGCGCTTCCGAGCACTTCCGACGTTCCCTTTTGCATTTTCTAGGCAACTTCCCTTCCATATTCCAACACCAACTACCTACGCTACCAATGGTGAATCATGCCTTCAAGAAAGCTCTGCATTAAAGAGGTAGAGCGCGAGAGTGCCTCCTGATAGAGCTGGAAAGATTCGGGGTAAAAAAGGTAAGGCTGATTGAGACCATTGATTGAGAGGGAACTGACTAGAGACAGCACTGGATGGGAAACGTTCCGATCTTCTGCATCGCCATTCCGTGCCTTGGCACACGCACGTTTTCTCGAATACAATTTTTGGCCACGCCCACGCGTGCTCAGAGTGCAATATCTCAGACTTTTTATGAAAATTAGTCACCTTTTCGGGAGATATATGAAGAGATATCAGGCGAACAAAAAATGCACTTGTGAAATAAGGGAGATTTCAAATGATGAATAACTCAATGACATAGCCAGATTGCCACAGGATTTTCAACAGCTTGCGAACTGGTCATTACACTATCCTTTTTGAGGGAAATCGGTCAAGAGACCGCTTATCAGTGCTTGTCTTCCACCCATCTATTACTTCAAGAACACTTGGCGGAAAGTTGAGGATAGAGTTGAAGTTGCAGAGGAAATTTTGCCGCAGTGTCCACAGTCTACGAATTGGTTAAAGAGAAAGACCTTTCGCTCAAAGGCATATGGCACGATAATTTGGTACTCAGTCTAAAATGGTAGCAGGGGGCTATATAGTGGGAAAATGGCCGAAAAACGAAGTGAACTGGTCAAAACCCTGCAAAAAAAGTATATCCATGCAGTGCAACAGCCCCTTCATATCAATCCCTTTGTTTCATATTATACATCGCAAATGAAGCTATACGAGCATAATGATCGGTCGGGCTTTTGTCGGGCGGGTTACAGCTTGATAAGGCGCTATAGGGGTATCTTGATGGGGCTGCGCAGTGCCTGCTCAGGGTCCCCGAAATCTGTCCTGCTAAGCGTATTAATCGCGGCACCACCCGTCTTGAGCGATTTACTTTAGGCACTGGTCCTTTAACAATATCGTGGGTTGCCTCCCTACCCATAATATATGGTAATACACATAGCAGGTCGAGAGTGTGCCGCTTTCGCGACACCCACTTTGTATGACGAAGAGCGCTGCGGCATATATACAGTTACATCGTGGCTTATGCGCTGGAGACGGAAGAGCGCGGGCTATTTTGGACACGGCATAGGATGGTTAACTAGTGTTTTATTGTCAACATGGGACAACTGTCATGCTGTGTCACAAAGACATTACTCACAACTGCCCTAAAATAAAAATATCATACGAAAAACTTAGCCACCGCTACGTTCAATTCAAGTACGCGGCCACGCCTACCGCACCTCAGGGATCTAGAGTATATCTATGGTATACCGTACCCTAGGAAGCGGTTGAGCGCGAGGTCTACCTTCGAAGGCGCGTTGCGAAATTGTTGTACGAGGGCCTTGGCTTTTGTCAGAGTCTAAAAAATCAAGGACCAGGTTTGATTCACGTCCCCCAGAGATCCATACTAATGAAACCAGATGGCGGTATGAGAAAGCGGTTAGCCTTCAGTAGTGGAATGACCTAGCGCACGCTATATTCGAAACATTGAAACGAGCTGTAGCACGTTGTTCATGCAAGCCTCATGTGAACGATTACATTAACGCTGTGATAAGGCGTGTGGAAGCGCAAAGAGGTGTCCAGAGGTTGCGATGTTTTTTGCTGAAAACCGTTAGATGTATCCAGTACTGGCCGTGGCTGAAGCAGAACTGCGACAACTGCTACGAAACCCCTCAGAAATCATGCAAGAAGACTTTTTCTCCCTAAACTTCTGTGTTGCAGAGATTTCCGAATACATGTGGATCCAGAATTCGGCAACTGCTTCACATTTAATTATGACGTCAAATAACAATTACACCAGTAGTCGTGCAGGACCAATGTATGGTACGTTCTTTTAGAAGTTCTCCTTTGAGGAATAGTACAGTCCACCTACATTTGATATGCTCTATCGATTAAGGTAACAATTGAATGTATGTGAAGTGCGAGTGCTAACATCGGTTTTGTCAGTGAATAGTTTCTCATGATAGCTCCTCAGTTATACAGGCGAGCAACTTTTCATATTACTTACATTTTTACAGGTATTCGGGTGTTATTGTTTGTAAACACATCCGACTACATGTCAACATCGGAATCAGCTGGCGTGCGACTTGCTATTCATGCTCCTACTGAATATCCATTTCCGGACACCTTTGGTTATTCAGCCCCAGTTGGCTTTGCTAGCAGTTTTGGCATGAAAAAGGTTTTGAAGTTCTTTATTTCTTTTACGAAGAGGTCCTCCCACAAATTGCTCATTGAACGATTTCAAAATAAATGTAGATGTTACTATAAGTAGTGTAATTGTATTGCTGATATCGTCGCGATCAGTCGGGGCGGTGTCAGGTTGTTGGAACGAGTCCGCTCCTGGTTTTCCCCAGCATCGTTTTCTAGCACTAGTGATCGGTAAATGATCGTTTCAAGAACATTCGTAGAGAATGCCATTTCATGCCCCTTGACACCGCCCCGACCGATTGCGACGATATCAACTGTGCTCACCACTGATCACGTGGGCGGAGTCACTGAGACCATTGCGTTGTTCTCATTGGTAAACCTTCCTCTCTTATAATGCCAGGAGTAGGGCCACTCCAATGATTAGTGTGACTCCACCCAAACGATCAATATGGAGTCTGCCTTTAAACAAATTTTCCATAATGTATGAGTCACCTATGTTACTTCATATGTGTACTCGTTTTGCAGAAACTTATCCAACGCCTTTCTAATCCTTATGGGGACTGTATTCATTCGGAAACATACAACAAAACCAACTACATTTATCAGAATTACGACTATCATCCAGAGGTTATTTAACTTATTCTGAAGTAATGTTACTTGTTGACCTTGGAGAATTTTCAGGGATGCCATCGAAGTTGTTTCCAAACGAATTTAATACGAGATTGCTCATGTGGAGATCCACGTTTTCCTGTACCAAAATTCAGCAAGCATTGTTCAGCGTTTAACGCCACAGCACGTCCGTTTTATTTTCGATTTATTTACGGAATTGGGTTCATATCCTTATATAGTGTACAGTATGGTTCACTGCGCAAGCTGAAGCGCGTCAGGGGGCTGGATTTGGAGCGGCGCCATCCCGTTCTCCTTCAATTTTCGAAGAAAGGAAAGCGAAAACAATTAGTGGTAAACGTGCTGTCCTAGCGCCGAACCCAGCCACCTGACACGCCCCAGCATCCGCAGCGACAAAGGCTGTGTTTTCAGGTAACTGCTTGGAAAGAAAGAAATATCGGCTTTGTGGTGATTTCTATCAGTGTAATGAGGACATGAGATTGTGAAGTAGCAACGATTGCAAGGAAATTGTCCTGAGGTAAACATTTTCGGGCAGCGGAGCTGGGCATCAGGTGCAACAGGGTCGTGGATCACAACAATTTATAGGCGAACGCAATTGAGAAAGAGCCGGCAGGGTTCAACGCGACGTAGAGTCTATAGGGCCGAGCAGGCATTGACCGTTTTGCTTTTCGCTCGAATGGTGGTCCTGTCCTTCCAAGGTGCCCACAAATCAATAAACCAAAGTACAATACAAGCTGATTCCCTCATATCAAGTCAAAGTAGACCATTTTGTCGAATATGCTGCTTATTCAGGTATGTTAGAGCTGCCGTGTAGTTTTGAAACGGGATTTAGATCACGTCGCTCATGAAATAACTTAAGCTCCTATTCTTATTAAGGACGGGCTATCTCTTACCTGATCTTCGTACTCTGGTTTCCTACAGAAACTTAGAGTCTACGGCGACTTGGACTGAACCCTAAAAAAAGAATACTCGAGTAATGTAGAGTTAGTAGAGGAGATGCGTGAGCTGAGCGACGTAAGTGAAAGTGTTCGCACGGCGTGCTGGATTTCGAAAACGGTCCGTTTTGACGCAGATTGAAAGAGAAGCACTTTCATTCTTGAAAGAGGTTGTGTATTTTCGTGCCTGATTCTGCTGCAGAAAACACCCAAAAGAAAGAATTGTAAAAACAAAATTATCCCCCCCTGGGATCTCCCAGCACACATTTTGCGGTAATCCATGAGTGCGCGCTTTCGAAGCTTGTGTGTGATTCGGAAACTTGTTTTTCAGAAAGCGCACTACACATTTGGATTGACTTCGCCTTCTTAGTATTTTTCCGGCCGGATCCAGGGTAGCAGCTCCGTTGGAAGAATCGCCGTGGAGAGGGGAGGGAGGGGGGTGAAGGTGGGATAGGAGGAGTCATAATCGGTCAGTGGATATGGGATCGTATTCGTCAATGAGAGGTCAATGAGCGAAAATTCTTCCGAGCAGTCAACGGGGAGGGAGGAATATTTAAAGGCAACATACGCGATATAAATAAGGCTTTATGACGCTCTCAAATGTATTGAGTAGTCAGGAAGGTGATCTTTGAGGCTGCGCTAAGCTATTCAAAATGTGAAAAAAGCAGGGACTGCCGCTAGAGTGACTAATTAGGCCCATGGACACCCCTTAGGCCCATGCCGACCCTCACCGGCTGCTAGCTACTAGCTAGTAGCCACTATGTTATCTTTCTCTATAACATTTCGGACTGCTTTTACTGCTGCTTTTCTCCGCTAATCAGATACTTAGCACTTTTTGTGCCTATTTGAGTTCCGTTTCCCGCAATTTGCGGTCGCGAACTGTGCCTTTAAGGTTGCTGATTTTTCCCGTTTTACGTGTGCTATATCCATCATGTTGGCTTGTTGGAGGCATCGGTTGTTGGGAATCCCGCGTAGGGAGGGGGGGTTGTATTTGCGCTGAGGAAAATTATTTTGATAGTGGATTTTCTTACGGCATTCACGGGACGTCGAAAAAGGGAGGGGGGGGGTCGTACTTGGTCATTGTCAGGAGGGAGGGGGGGTCAGTATTTAGTTTTGGCGTTGTAGAGCGGTAAGTTGCTTTTTGCGGAATTTGTTTGTCGTCATGGTACTATAGGTATCCGGCTTTACACCGGCTCGAGGATCCGATTCGACGAGGAGGGAGAGAGGGCCCGGAGGCGGGGGGGGGAGAGTCGTATACGGACTCGTCAGAATCCGCAACCAGTGATGTTGGCCCTGTTTCTGGATACTTTACTCCGACTGACTGAAGTAGACTCCCTTGTCACTCAACCGTCGCTCGCGAATCCGCAAATTAATTTTTTTCCTGAGAAAACTGGTTGGGCGGGTTGGAGAATGGAGGGAAATGTGTAGGATGGGAGGGGGTTTGTGGCGTAGGAGAGTTTTTCGGGGGAGGAGTCGTTACTCAGGAGGGGAATTTTGGATTTGTTGGGAGGAGATACATGACAACCGACTTGTAGCCTGTTCCGATGCTGTACAACTGCACGATTTAATGTCAGATATTCAATGAGGATGGCTACAGTCACTCGAAGGTATCGTTATGCCGTACTAATAATGTGGGCGACAAAGTATAGGACAGGGTGCGCAAAAAAAAGTCACTTGACGCAAGGTCAGCATATAAGCGAAGTTTTCGCAGCGCCAGAGGCAGGGGAGTGGTATATGAGTACAATGGAAGATCCAAGATATTCCTCTAGCTGGCGCAGGCTGCCGCAATCGGCTTTCATGTGGCCAAAAGTATGAAGTCAGGTCTCCGTCGCGGCTGACTGGGAACAACCTTGGATTCACGTGGTCTCCAGAACTGCGAACTTCTTTTTGAAGTCATCCACAGATAGCTTACCTGGAGGTCAGTACTCTTGATCTGCAAGACCTCCCACATCGAGCAGCTTCGTCAACTTCGCTACGGTCTAGGACATCATCTTCACCGTATTCCGAGGCGCGAGTTGATGTAAACTGCGACGACCGCCCCGCCCAGCCCCCGGTCGTACCCATGGACAAAGGGGAAAGACCGGTATTTCTTTGTAAGAACACCAAACCCCCCCCAGACTGAACGGGAGGCTGAGCGGTATTAACAATCCAGAGCATGACAATCGAGAGAAGATAACCTCGCTCCCTATACCACAATGTGGCTCGCCAAACAGATAACTTACTTAGGAGACCTTTGAATGACATGACTTCACAGTCTAATGGGTGCACCCAACATGGAATCAACAGGGATTTGGAGAAAACGCCCCCGCTTAACTTGAAATGGAGAAGAGGCGATCACCTTCGTATCTGAAAAGCACCCAAGAATGTACAAATACGCGTTGAAAGTCATCGTCCATGACATGAACAACATCAACATTCACCATAGCATACGGCGGACTTAACAGAGGTGGCAGAGTAACTAGGGTGGACGAGAGGCAATCGACTAGCTGATCGCTGATCTCAGGTAGCACAACCACTCCGCGGATCACCGAGCCACGTGCACAGATCTCTCCCGAATGGCGTTGTAACAGAAAGGCTGTAAAGCGGAGTGTCGTGATAGTACTTAATGTGCTCTTCAATATGGTAGTAAAAATGTCCGATCAGAATTTGATAAAGTGTAATTTATAGCGCCTCGAAAGTCAATGAGGCAAAGTGACTTTTTTTTTTTTTGGCCACCCCTGTATAGTCTGCCTGGTTTTCAAGGCAGCTGCACAAAAAAAATACACAATGTCAGGTAAGAAACAATACTGGCCAAGCATTAAAGTGAACCATATGTTTTCAGGGAAATACTAAGGTATGAAATTTTATACCTTCGCATAACACACCCATACATACGTATGGCCGTAGATTCACACAAAACGTAAACGTCTTGCACAAACGTCTCACTTTAGAGTTGTTCACCAGTCCGTCCAGACCAACAGCATTCCCACCAACACCTCTCTGTTATTCTTCCCTGCGTGTCCCACTATCTATCACATAACGCAGTGCATGTCTGAGCGCGGTGCAGGGCGTAGTTGCGATAACTGCTAGAGTAGGCTAATGCTTTTGGACTCTCGCAACTTCCGGCAGACCGGACCTCATTTTAAATTACTAAGTCGCCAAACCCGCTGAAAATATGTACACAAGGGTTATTTACCATCCTGATTACAATTATGACACTCATTCTTGGCGCTGGCGCCAAGGGATGACACTACGATTACCTCTTGGGCTCAGCCTTAGCGGAGCGCAGGTAATCGTGTCATCGCATAAGTAGGCGCCAGCGGCAAGAGTGAATGTCATATTCGTAATCAGGATGTTAAACTACCCCTACATACAAGTTTTTAGCGGATTTGGTAACTTAGGCAATTTAAAAATGAGCTCGGTGCCGAAGTTTGCTGGGTCCAAACGCATTAGCGCCTACAGTAGATGAAGAAGAGCAGAGACCCAGACTAGAAGGGACGTTGATTCGGAAATGGCAGTACAGGTGGAACGTCGGCACACCCCTCAGATTGGCAGCTAGTACGTTGTAGTTTCATGTTAGAAAGAAAGGGAATTTTTGATGACAATCATACACAGCTTGTGGGTTCTGGTCTGATGAAATTCCTGTTAATTATAAGTGAAAAAAGAGTGAGAGTGTGAATGAGACGTCACCAGGACCCATGTTGTTGCGTGGTATAAGGCAGAGATAAGAGATGGGAGAATAGGAGGAAAAACTGGTAGCCTAGTGAGACGCAGGGTCTTCCTGCCTAGGGTAGCTGACATATAACACCTCCAGGTAGGTAATGCACAGTCTGCGGGTGGCTTAGCTTACCTTTTGCTTATGTCGGCTGCAGCACTCTCGCCACTCTGTCAAAAATGGGGTTCTTAATATTGGGAGGAAACATCTGTTATTCTGCGTTCATACTTTGCGGCAGCGTCTACCAGCGTCTACCTGCGTCCACGAGCGTTCGAAAGCGTCAGCTACTGGGATAGTATAGGTACCGATCTAATGTGCAGTCTGCCGCCCTCCTATCCCCCCATACTCTACCAGCTGTCTGCTACCCTCCTATCGCGCCACACTCCCTGCCATCGGTCTGCTACTCTCCTATCTCCCCAGACTACCATCTGTTTGCTACCCTCCTATCGCGCCTATACTCTCCTCTCCCGGACGCTGGTGCACGCTGACACACGGTGGTAGACGCTAGATCGATACCTATACTTCCCTTTCCCTAGAGACGCTGGTAGACGCTGGCGAACGCCGGAAGACGCTGGTGCGCGCTGGTAGATGCTAGATCGATATACTTCCCCCAGACGCTGACGCTGACAGACGCTCGTAGTATGAATGCAGCTTTAGTAAATTTGGCGAAGCGTGTGTGATCTCCACAGAACTGCCACGGTAGGACGTACATTTTGGTTCAGTAGATGATCCAGCAGTTTCAAAACACTTGTAAATCTTCTCGCTTTTAGCTAGGAGACTGCGATGGCATGACTGAGACGGAGTGTGAGAACTACTATCGTCTTAATGCAGCCATGGTTGAGGTGAATAATTCTGCCCAATAATCTCAATACGGAAACAACAATGAGCAGTTTCAGGTGTTCTACGAGCAGCTTAACTACGAGTTACTCCAAGAATCTGAGGCATATGGACTTGTGAACCTTATTGCCGATTTTGGTGGACACCTTGGTTTATGGCTGGGTTAGACCGTTCCGTTATGCAGTCACAAAATGGCACCACAAAGCTTTTACTTTTCAGGTTTTTCTGTGATTACTGTGATGGAGGTGATAGTATTGATACTGGATGTGATATCGATTTGTTTCCGACGAAGGAATGAAACTATAGCGAAGAACGAAAGGCAAAAAAGTTCTAAAACATATCCGCCACTATCCGGAGATGAAAAGGCGAAGTCGCTCGTCCAAATATGACCACCAACAATCACTTTACCGAGTTGTGATATATTGTTGTTTCAAATTTGTATGGTATGATAGCGTGATAAATTTGGTTATATATAGTATAGTGTTAAAAGCAATGCTGGAAATGGCGCTGTTGCAGTCACTTCGACAAAGTTGAACCTCATCAAAAGACAGACGGTCACAAGATCAGGGCACTCAGTTGGTTCTAGGATTTTTTTTGTTAGTTAACTTTTCTTACTTCACGCGCACTGTCCAGAAATTCCCCATAGGCAGCGTTCAGACTTCGCGACGGCAGCGCTTCGGTCGCGCGTTCGACGCGATCGATGCAGTTGAAAGCATGCGCATCGATCGCGCCAAACGCGCGACCGTCGAACTGAATCGCAGCCGTCGCGAAGTCTGAACGCTCTGCAATATGGAAAAAGGGCGGGCATTTTTGCTTATCGTTTTGAAGGGGGGGGGAGGACTACTAGCCCTTGAAAAGTTTCCGTGTCGCGAATGTTTTTTGATCGTTAACTTTGCACTGTTGTCCCTTTTCACATCTGCAGCCTTCCCCACTCAGCTAATCGACAGTTTTTGGGGAAAAAGAAGGGGCGTTTCCTAGAAGAAAAACCGTAGGAAATACGGGGCAGTCGAAAACTCGGTAAGATGAGGGAGAGGAGCGTACCAGAGAAGGGAATGTAGAGAGGAGGGTCGTACATTGCAGAGATCTTCCCTAGCGAGAGAAAGTGTCCTGTACGAGATAGCAGTACGCGATTATCGTAACACTCACATGGGGAGGAGCGTATTCAGGTAGGAGCAGGTGGGTATTCGCACTGACGAGATCGAAATCATGATTTATCGTGAGTTCCTCCTTAGTTGTCAGTTGTTTGAAAGTGAAAAAGTTTGGTGAGCGCCCAAACCCACTTTTTGCAATATCAGGGTCCACCTCAAATCTATTTAGGTTGGCCCATAAGTGATGGCGTTTTTTGGTCACACAAATTTTTGTATGAAAAATGACAATTGTTCCCAATGCCCTGCAATGTTTGATGGATAATTTTCCGCACTAGAAGACAGTGTAATGCCTTCTTACTATTTCTCGACTTGTGTAGATTTTTTCGTATAAAAGGGAAAATTCGCCGGGCGGACCTGAAAGCTGAGTTCTTCGACTACTTTTTTATTTCTCGCCTCTTCAGTCTACAGCAGAAGAGCTCAAACCATGTGGGGTGGCCCGTGTATTAAAATTGAAATAAAAATTTGAACAAAGGAAACGGTGGTTGCTCTTATGACAGCTTGAACTGGTTCAAGCGACCAAGAGGTGGGAATTCGGACCTTGTAAAAGAGCATCGCATTGGGGGCAACTCTTGGGAAGGGACTGCCTGCAGTACCTACCCACTTATTTTCGAACGTCTAACATCAACTGAGGGTAATGCTTGATAATCATAGGGGAAGCACTCCATGACCTCAGCGGTCCTCAATCTTTGGCATGAATCTCCGTGAATAAGGAAATTCCGTAAGTCTCAGTTTGGACTGAATAGCGGCATCTAAATTGCGATGTCACTATGTGACGTCAGGACTTGAAACTTCGAATCACTTAAAGTGTTATACCCAATCTTTAGCATTCCTAAAGAGACGTAGCCTTTCAGCCATATACTTAGCAGCTGGACCCATGCGGTTTCAGCTTTTTAATTAGAGGTATAAAAGAGAGGCTGTCGAAAATGCTCAATTTCGTCGACCTGACACTCCAGTTTGAGCACTTAAATATTAGTGGAAAGAGAAACTTGAAGGAAACTAAGAAGACTGTTCGTGTGACGGCAAATGAATTCCGGCCAAAAGGGGTATAAGAAACTTCAATTGCGCCAAAACTTTCTTCTCCAGGCGTTTGAGTGGGGAAAAAAACGCCATATGTTATGGGCCCCACCGAATTAGCTCATATTATTGTTTCTTCAAGTAAATGGACGCTTCAAGGCTACTTTGATGCCCACATTCAACTGCGTATTCTTTTGTGCTGAGTGCTCCTTGCGCCACAGTTAGCACTCTAAGTTATCCCAAGAGTGCTTAGCTGAGGGAAACAACTCGACTCCAAACCGGAATCGAACGCTTACCTGACCAATGCGCTACCCATACGCTACCGAACTACATTCCACCCTCTCAGTTTAAAGGCGCATTCCGCGACCACCTGAATTAAGCGCTACCCATACACTACCGAACTACATTCCACCCTCTCAGTTAGAAAGCGCATTCCACGACCACCTACAGTCCTCATCATTGCGGACCGGTGGGGCGTGTCAGCCAGTAGGAGTGCGCACACTGTTGAAGCCGTTCTCAGCCTTTTTTGTTGAAACGCGTATGCGACAAAAAGTGGTAGAAAACGAGTAATACGAAGGATATAATACAGTAATGCACTTGCCCGCTTCAACAACTGGTGCAGAACGACTTCATCACCGCGGAAGACGGAGCCGCACTGACACGCCCCACCGGTCCGCAATGATGAGGACTGTATAAGTATCAACACTGTGTGGAAAAAAGTAGCATGGTCCGCAACGGATAACCTTGTACCAGTTCAGCATAAGAAACCTTATAAGGTAACGGGCGTTGAGGCCCAAGCTTGCTCGAGTGACTCCGCCACAGCGTCAAGAACTCCACCCACCTTCGTACCCACCGTCTTGCTTGCTTACACGCTTCTTATTCCTATGGTTAAACGTGCACATTTCAAGAGGGATTTCATATCCGAATACATACCCTCTGACACACATGGATGATTATCCTGAAGAAGCGAAAGCTGAGAAAAATGATTTACCCGCAATGCACAGTGAACAACTATATACAAAAACCCGCTATTCAGAAACGAGCGACTAAACGGGGCGAAGTGAGCAAAAACATCTTGTTCCGTCTGGT